GAGGTCCCAGGAGTTTAATGTCAAATAAAACCAGGACTTAACAAATTCTGAATACTCGGTAATCATTATTCACAAATCCTGAGTATAACTCATTGTAAATCCAGTCAAACCCATTCTTTAGAGTACAACTTAGAGGAAACAGAGTCTATTTCAAGCCTTGAGATTTTCAAATACTAGACTGATATGGTAGATAGGGACATAAAATATATAATACGTGTCACATTGGTTTTTCTATTCTCTTTGCCTCTCTTTATTCTGTCCACTCTGCCCTCAAAATACACACACACACACACACACACACAATATGTTATTCCTTGCTTTCTGTAGGTTTTCACCCCTCCTCAAATCCTTGTTAAAGTTGGCAGGTATAAATTCTCTTCTGACAATGTTTCCAAACTTAAAGGGTATAGGCTTTCAATATAAACCCTGTCTCTGTGGTAACACCTTTACAACTTTTGGCAAATTATTTAACACATGTGAGCTTTACTTTCCTTGTCTGTAAAATGAGAATAATAATAGCTATTTGATGTCTCACTGTGAGGATTAGAGATAGCATATATAATGTGCTTGGTACATTACCTGATTACAATACCTGGTATGAATTCATTTAGTATTAGTATTAGTTTCCTGTTATTCTGCCAAGCTTCTATCTACCTTCAGGACTTGAACAGGTGACTCAGGTATAATCCCAAGAGATTGTTCTGATGTTTTGAAATTCTAAAGTAACAAATGACTCAAGCACATATCTGAGTTGAGCAAATACAAGGATAGCAAAAGGTAATGCCTAACAATTCTAGAAAGATCTTATTTGTGTTAGGTGTTGGCAGCTCTAGATGTCTGTGGTAAAGGTGATATGGAGGCTCATTTCCTGGGGCATGAATACTGGAAGTGTCCCACTTTCTCCTGTCATGCATGAAACTTTTATCAGTATATTATTCACTCCATACCTTATCCTAAGAACATATATAAAAAAAAGAGCTAAGACCTTGGCATGTCACCAGTGGGTGGTTTTCAACCACTGAGCTATATTGTTCCTCTTAGTCTTTTTCATTCTGTGAAAACCCTGACTTATTAAAGAGATTGACAAACTTTTTTCTTTTCCTAAAACACCAGAGAGTAAATATTTTAGGCCTTTTGGGCTATATTGTCTACTGTTACAACTGTTCAACTTTGTGGTTAAGGCACATGAACAGCCAGGAAAAACACATAAATAATTAAGCCTCACTATCTTCCAATAAAACTTTACTCACACACACTAAATTTTGAATTTCATCTAATTTTCATCTGTCATGAAATATTCTTTCAGGATTTTTTTCCCAGTCATTTAAAAAGATGTAAAAACCGTTTCCTAACTTGCATAAATAGGTTGGTAGGGTGAATTTGACCCACAGACCACAGTGTGTCCATCTTTACCCTATTGTGCTTCTGGATTTTTCTTATTATCTTCTTGTGAGGTGTGCAGATCTTTCCTGTGCTAAATTTTAAAATACATACTTGACTATGTTTAATTATTATAGTAGTTTTCTATTGTCAGCTTAACAAATTATCATAATTTGGCAGCTTTAAACAATACAAAGTTATTATCTGATCATTCCATAAGATTGAAAGTCTGGATTGGATTGGCTCATTTTTCTACTTCTGGTTCCACAAGACTGAGATCAAGGTGTCAACTGATTGAACTCTTATAAAGCAGCTCTGGGAAGAATCTAATTCCATGAATACTCTTGTAGGCAGAATCCTGTTCCTTGTGGCTGTATGAATGAAGTCACCATTTCCTTGTGGGCTATTAACTGAGAACCACTCTTAATTCCTTGAGGCCTCTCTTTCCATTCCTTGCCTGTAAGATCCCCACATCTTAGAGCCTCCTCAGCATGTTGAGCTTCACATTTGCAATCTGACTTCTGACTTCTGTTTCTTCCTCTATTTTTAAAGACTCATGTGATTACCTTGGGCCCACAGGAATAATCCAGGATCATTTGCTATTCTAAGGTCAACTAATTAGCAACCTAATTCCATCTGCAAAGTCTGATATCATCAGTATGTACTAGTGTTTGATTGGCAGTAATCTTGAGAGGACACCTTTAGCATTTAAATACCACAATTATCTCCTGGATTTCTAACATAAGTATAAATGTATAGATCACTTGAGCTGCACCCAGAAATAGTTTAACATATTCAAGCCTTTTGGTTTTGGTAGGTTAGACCTTCTTAGATTGGATATACCCTAACAACAGTCTGTGCTTCTCAATAGGTGATATAGTCACTTGGGAGTAAACCTGAGTTGGACATGCTATAGTCTTACCTTTCAATGAATGCTTTCTCCAAGGTTGACATTTTTACTTTTTTCCTTAGTATTGGAACTTTGTTCCGTGTATAACTTGCCTTTCTCACTTATATTCAGAAGGATTTCATGGTAATTGCTGTGGGGAACAAAGGTGACATATTTTTTTCTGGATTTTTATATTTGCCATCCAGCTGTTGATGTATAATCCAACCAATTGCTAAACTTTGTGGATATAATACTCTCAGGCTAGATACCTCTATTTGCTCTGTTTCTTTTCTCAGCCATCACATTCAACTTATCACCAGTTCTTGCTAATCTCATCTTCAATGGTTGAAGGATCTTTATCCTTCTTTTTACCCCTCATCCCCATGAAACCCTGATTTATATCTTCATCATTTCCTATCGTGACTATTGCAATAACTTCTTAATTGGCCTGCTTGGTTCTTTTGATTTCTCTTATATTTCTCCATAGATTACAATATCCAATCTGAAATTTAGAAAAACTGCCTGAGTACCCCATCGCCTCCACAGTGACATTCTGGCTCCTTTGTATGGTATTCAGACTTCCATTACATGGCCCCAAGCCTACCTTTCAACCTCACTTTACCACTATATTCCTCCACAAACTCTTTACCCTAGTCACACAGGCCTATTTACAATTCTCAGAATGTTCCCTAAGTAGCTAAATACATTTCTTCGTTTTTAATTAGAAATCTGTTTAGACTACCGAATGACTTCTGTGATTGTTAAAATTCTCTTTGTAAGCTTGAAAATAGACTTTATTTATCACAGTACTGGAGATTGAACTCAGGGATTCTTTACCACTGAGCCACATCCCCAGCCTTTTTTATTTTTTATTTTGAGACAAGGTGTCGCTAATTTGCTGAGGCTGGCCTCCAACTTGCGATTCTCCTGCCTCAGCCTCCCAAGTCACTGGAATTACAAGCGTGTGCAGCCATACCTGGCTCAAAATAGATTTTATAGCAGCACAGCTGCTATAGGTTGAATTCTAGATGTCTTAATTCATTCCACAAATATTTACTAAGCACAGTGCCAAGTACTTCTCCTAGAGATGGTGAACAACACAGCCAAGATTCTTGCCCTCATGCCACTGATAGTACTGAGGGCTGTGAGGATGTGAAAAGAGTAATGTGTTAAAGTGGTGGGGAGCAGTCAATCATTCATTTTTAAAGTAGTACTTGAGAGCACAGTTTATGAAAAACTCTCTTCTGGGTACCAGGGAGAAAGATGAATCAGACAGAAATTGTCTCTCAGGGAGCTTAGAGCCCAGTAGGTATCGAAAAGACTCTAAAATAAAGTTTAAAATGTTTTAGGTCAGAGGAGAAGTGCAAATGAAGAAGAGGGTAATAGGCATTTCAGGAGGGAAGATGGGAGATGATTTCACATAGTCATTGCAGGTAAGGCTTAAAAGATGGAAAGGGCTACTCAAAGATCCTTTCCCATCTTAACTTTCAATTGATGGCAAAATCCAAGCAGGCTCTTCTACCACCTGCATTTTGAACGTGTCTATTAGTCTGGCCATTGTCCTAGCATGGGTTCTGCCCCCTCCCTCCTGTGCTACTACAATGGCCAACCTGTCTTTATTCTCCACTGTAATCCAGCGTTCATGTTACATCAAGAAATCTTTCTAGGCTGGGGTGTAGTTCAGAGGTAGAGCATTTGCCTAGCAGGTTCAAGGCCCTGGGTTCCATCCCCAGCACCAAACAAACCAAAAGAGAAGAAAAAAAGGGGAAAAAAGAAAATTTAAATTTGAATCTAATTGTAATCCCTGTATCATTTGGAATCTTCACTTGTTCCTCATTGCTTACATCAAAGATCATTCCCCTGCCTGGTATAGTGGCACACCCCTGTAATCCTAGCTGCTCAGGAGGCAGAGGCAGGAGGACCACAAGTTCAAAGCCAGCCTCAGCAGTTTAGAGAGGACTTAAGCAACTTAGCAAGACCCTGTCTCTTAAAAAAAAAATATGGCTGGGATTGTGGCTCATCAGTAGAGTGCTCACCTAGCACATGTGAAGCGCTGGGTTTGATCCTCAGCATCACATAAAAATTAAAAATAAATAAATAAAATAAAGGAATTGTGTCCAACTACAACTAAAAAAATATATTTTAAAAAATACAAAATAGGGTTGGGGATGTGGCTCAGTGTTTGAGTGCCCCGAGTTCAATCCCTGGTACCAAAAATATAAATAAAATATAAAGGGTGGGGGTGTTGCTCAGTGGTTAGGCACCCTGGGTTTCAATCCCTGGTATTATAGTAGTAGTAGTAGTAGTAGTAGTAGTAATAATTATTATTATTATTTCTCCCCAGTAATGTAGCAGGTAAGAAAAAACATGAGCCCTAAACCAGACTATTTGGGAGGGGACTCTAGCTCTAATATTTACCAGCTACGTTATGTGAGATATGCCATTTTTTTATTGATGTAGGTTTCTGTTTCCTCAGCTATAAAAATGGAGATTTACACAAGTTGTTATGAATCAAAACAGAACAAGTATGAAGAGTCATTAACAAGTACCTAGCAGATTGTATACGTATATTTGATTAATACAGTAGTGTCTTTTTATTGTCACTATAAAATACTACAGAGATTGAGATCGACTCCTTAAGTAGCTATTTTTACTTCATTAGACGATTTAGAGAGTTAATTATGCAGCTGAATAATCAAATTTTAATACTCTCCCCTTTTCCCTTGAGAAGGCAGCTAAGGATTATAACTGGTGAATGGTTCTTTGAAGAAAAGGCAAAGCGTTTCAAGCAAGTGAATGTTCTGGGCACTGATGTTGTCCGGCAGTCCATCTTAAGAAGAAGTCCAGGTAACTAAAGCAATGATTTACTTTCAAAACTGTTCTCATCTTTATTTTGGCATGCTAAATAACCTCCCTGTGTTATGTAGAAAATGAGCACAGCTAAATTTTCTGACTCCCTAAGGTTATTTCACACCTCGGTAGCATGGAATCAAAATATGTAATTCATACAAAAAAAGGAATACAGTGAAAAATAAAATTCATAGTGATTTTCCATAAATATAACATGCTGAGGGCTTCAAAGGAGCCATTTATCTTCATCACAGACACTTCTCTTTCTGATGAACTTCTAATATTTTACTAAATAGCCAAGAAAGTAACATAAAACAAGTGAATTAAATGATCCACATTGTGAAAGCAATTCTTGATTTTTTTTCAACAAGTTTTGTTTCAGATGTATTTTATTTAAATGATACTTTTTCTAATCCTTGGGGGTTTTTTTGGGAGGGGGAGTACCAGGGATTGAACCCAGGGGACTTAACCACTGAGCCCATCCTCAGCCCTATTTTGTATTTTATTTAGAGACAGGGTCTCACTGAGTTGCTCAGGGCCTCGCTGTTGCTGAAGCTGGCCTTGAACTTACTATCCTCCTGCCTCGGGCTCCAGAGTCGCTGGGATTACAGGCCTGCTCCACTGTACCCAGCTAATCCTTGGTTCTTGACAAAGCATTGATACTGTGCACTGCATTCTTGTTCCCCAAACAGGGGCATTTAGAAATGCAAAGGAGCAGATTATGCTAAGTGAAGTCAGCCAATCCCTTAAAATAAATGCTGAATGTCTTCTTTGATATAAGGGGGGCGACTCAAAACAGACCAGGGAGGAAGCGCATGAGAAGATTACCATCAAACAGGGAGGAGAGGTGGGAGGGAATGGGAGAGAGAAGGGGAATTGCATGGAAGAGGGAAGGAGACCCTCATTGTTATACAAAATAACATATAAGAGGATGTGAGGCGAAGGGGAGGAAAAAATAAATAAATAAGAGAGAGTGAGAGAAATGAGTTATGGTAGATGGGGTAGAGGGAGGGGAGGGGAGGGGGGATAGGAAGGAGATAGGAAGGGCAGCAGAATACAACAGACACTTGTTTGGCAGCATGTATAAACGTGGCTGTATAATCAACGTGATTCTGCAATCTGTACACGGGGGAATAATAAGAATTCATACCCCATTTGAAACAAATGTATGATATATGATATGTCAAGATCAATGTAATGTTTTGAGCAACCAATAAATTTCTGATGCTTAAAAAAAAGAGAGAAAAAAGGATAGAAGAAAAAAAAATGCAAAGGGGCATTTCTAGTTGCCACAACAACTAGGTTGGGTTGATGGTATTTAGTAGGCAGGAGCCAGAGATGCTAAATGACCAGAAATGCATAGGACAGTTTCTCTCAATGAAGAATTATACTGGCCCCAAATGCAAATAACACCTTCAGAATGCTTACAAACTACAACTTAATTGGTTAAATATTAAGTACAATTTGTCCTTAGGAGCATGTTTCTTGTGCCCAGTAGACAGGCATCTTCTGGCCTATCCCTACACAATCTCATCTTTCATAGATAGGAGACTAGTACCCTTGCTTTTAAGTCTGGCTGACTGCACTGGGAGCCCTGCAACTGATTCCATTGCCACTTCTGGGTGTGGCACTTTCCAGGAAGGGCTTTCACAAATGGGGAACAGGTGCCTTCCCAGGATGACTGGCTTATGTGCTCAGAAGTGAGGTTATCGTTACTATAATCTCATGCTAAAACTCAGCTTCTACAGATTTGAAGTTGTCATGAACCCAGACTTCTCCTCCCTATAGAAGGTTGATGTATTCCTTCCCCCAGAAAGCTTATCCCAGCAAACCTCCCATAGATGAGTCCTGATCTTAGTCCTTAGTTAATTCTATAATATTTCAACAAGTTAGAAATAACTGTGTACCTGAGCAATTTGGGGTGGGAATGTCATTACCATTTACTCTGCATTTACTTTTCTGGATTAGCACAAGAATCTTTGTGGGACAGTGGCTGCAGAATAGAAATTTGCATTCATTGGGCATGGTGACACACACCTTTAATCCATTCGAATCAACAGTCTGAGACAGGAGGATTGCAAGTTTGAGGCCACCCTCAGCAACTTAACAAGGCCCTAAGCAACTTATCGAGACCCGATCTCAAATCAATCAATGAATCAATCAATCAATTAAAAACAAGGGCTGTGGCTGGCCTAGTGGTGCATGGCTGTAATCCCAGCGGTTTGGGAGCCTGAGGCAAAAGGATCACGAGTTCAAAGCCAGCCTCAGCAATGGCGAGGTGCTAAGCAACTCAGTGAGACCCTGTCTCTAAACAAAATAGGGCTGGAGATATGGCTCAGTGGTTCAATGTCCCTGAGTTCAGTCCCTGGTACCAAAAAAAAAAAAAAAAAAAAAATCATGGGTTGGGGATGTAGTTCAGTGTAAAGCATCCCTGGGTTCAATCCCCAGTGAAGGAAGGAAGGAAGGAAGGAAGAAAGAAAGAAAGAAAAGAAAAAATCTCAAATATTTTAAAAGAAGAAGAAAAAAAGAAATTTGCTCTCATCTCTGGCCATTTTGTGTGTAAACTTGTCTTCTGATTGTTTTTAATGAGGATCTGAAGAAGTACGAAGCCAAGAACAAACCCGCCAGGATGTGGAGAAATCAGACACTTCGCCTTCTGTTGGGCAGAAAGCCAGCCATGATGGGCCCAAGAGAAAGGGGTAAGAAACAGCTTATTGAGGGGAAAATTGAATTTTTATTTCAGTCATCTCTGAAATAAAGACTCCTTTGTTTTTCAAGTCTGTTATCGCTTCAGTGACCCTGAGGAGGGCCAGAGACTCAACTGAAGTAACATTTTCTTAGCATTCTTCTCAGGAAATGCATTTTTAATTACTTTCCACTTTTGGTAAATAAAGCATGTATGAGTTCTTTCTTTTCACATATCTGCTCCCATTACTTCTAGGTAGAAGGTTTTATGTCAGGAAGAGTATTGTCTATAAACAGGTGACAACTACCTTTGTTGTAGGATGCTCCTCCCCACCAACCTGAGCACTGATACACTCAAATCAGAGATATCTTATTTGAGCTTCACACATTTTATCCCCTGTTTAAAATTCAGGCTTCTTTAAGGAGAAAAAAACAACAACAACATTTAGCCACCTCAACTGAATTCAGAAAGCAAATACATGTGTCAAGTATTAAACACAGCAATGGGAGATACACAGGGCACCAAGATGCCAGAAGGCACAGGTGACCTGGGGATAAGAGAATTCATCTAGAAGAGTCAGCCCCATGCAGACTCTGAGGATCAAAAGGCAAATTGCTCTGTCTCAGCTCTGTACTTTGTAGTCTTTGTTTCTGAGGCAGCTATTGGACAGTTTTGTGGCCAAAGTAGCAAGAGTTCTAATATGTGCCAAGTCACGTTATGATCCTTTCCAGGTACCATGCTTCATTGTCTCAGCAGAAGGCAGCCTGAAATGCTGACCGTGTCTCAGCCTTTATCTGGCTCTAAAAACAAGTCTGGGTTTTTTTTTTTTTTTTTTTTGAATCCTGAACTCTGAGTGGGATTGAACTCTAAATGTCATCTAACTCAAACACTCTTGATTAACCACATCTTCATTACTTAGCAGAGATGAATGGGAAAGAAAATCCAAAGTCTCCCAAATATCCTATCCCAGGTATCAATCCTTCATCTCACATTGAATCCATTTATCTCATCTCAGGACTTCCACAATGCCTTGTGCCTATGCATCACTCTTTCCATTACACTCTGACCTTCCCATTCCCACTCTTAATTGTAAGCTGTTTCAGTGCTAGACCAGTGGCTTCTTTGCTTTTGTGTTGCACTATCTAGCATAGTTCCTGATTCCTGAAAAACAATCAGTGGTTGATTGAATATGTGATTCAGAGCCCCCAGATGCTGCTAGGAGCTACCATTTGCAGATCCCAGCCCAAGCATCACAGACTAGGTTGCAGAGTTAAGTAGAGTTTTGAGCTGACAGACAGTAAGTAACCCACCAGCACAATGAATTATGCAAATCCTGACTCATTCATGACTCTCAGCTGGGCCCTGCTGAAACTGAAAACTGGCATCGATGGTTCTTGGTCTTCAAAGAATATAACATCTATTTAGTTTGGTGGCACACATCTGAAATCCCAGCAACTCAGGAGACTGAGGCAGAGATGTTGCAAGTTCTAGGTCAGCCCAGATAATTTAGTGAGACCATGTCTCAAAATAAAAACTAATCCTGGCGTGGTGGTGCACGCCTGTAATCCCAGCAGCACAGGAGGCTGAGGCAGGAGGATCCTGAGTTCTAAGCCAGCCTCAGCAAAAGTGAGGTGCTAAGCCAATCAGTTGAGGTCCTGTCTCTAAATAAAATAGGGCTGGGGATGTGATTCAGTGGTTGAGTGACCCTGAGTTCAATCACCAGCACAAAAATAAATAAATACTAAAAATAAAAAGTAAAAAGGGCTGGGGATGTACATAGCTCAGTAGTAGAGCAACCCTGGGTTCAATCCCCATTAAGAGGATTAGAAAAAAAAGAATTTGACATCCAGTTGGGAAAGAAAAGGTTCATACATGAAAAGTTAATAAGTCTAAAAGAGCTGGGCACAGTGGCGCATGCCTGTAATCCCAGCAGCTCAGGAGGCTGAGGCAGGAGAATCATGAGTTCAAAACCAGCCTCAGCAAAAGCAAATCAGTGAGACCCTATCTCTAAATAAAATACAAAATAGGGCTGGGAATTGGCTCAGTGGTCAAGTACCCCTGGGTTCAATCCCTGGTACCCAAAATAATAATAAGTATAAAAAGAATTTCAGGAAAATATAAAATAGCAATATGAGTTGCCAAAAGCTTCTCTAAACAGGCAGAGTGTTAATAAATCCCAAGAGATGTCATAAGGCTATAACTTACTCACTATTAAGTGAGTAGCTAAATAATAAATTCCTGCTTGATGGGGTAATGGGAGCTATCAAGAAAGACATCAAATTGTAGCCAAGTGCAGTGGCACATTCTTGTAATCCCAGTGGCTTGGGAGGCTGAGGCAGGAGGATCTTGAGTTCAAAGCCAGCCTTAGCAATGGCGAGGTGCTAAGCAACTCAGTGAGACCCTTTCTCTAAATAAAATGCAAAATAGGGCTGGGGAGGGGCTCAGTGGTCGAATGCCCCTGAGTTCAATCCCCAGTAACACCCCTGCAAAAATTTTGGGGGATGGGGTTGTAATTTAGTGGCAGAGCGCTTGCCTCGAATATGTGAGGCACTGGGTTCGATTCTCAACACCACATATAAATAAAATAAAGGTCCATAAGAACTAAAATGAACAAATAAATAAAATTTAAAAACAAAAAAAAAATGTGGACCTTGACAGATGGATGGAGCTCAGGATATCAAAAGGGAGGAAGAATGATTTCCGGCAGAAGAGACATTAAAGAGAGGTGCACAGGTGGGGACATGCACGAGGTGGTTCTCAGAGCAGCATAAACTGACATTATATTAGTGCCATTCTCACAAAAAAAAAATCAATTTTCCAGTAGATTGAAGCTTCTGACAATTGACAGTGACACTTCTGGGGTTCTTTGAAGCAGAGACAACTTAGCAGATTCTATTAAGATCCTGCCAGTACCTTTGGAATCCACTTTTCCCCTAGAAAACTGTTGAATGTAAAGTAAGTTAACTGGTCTTTCCCAAAGCCATCCCCCCAAAGAATATTATAGCATTTTTATTATTATTATTAAATTGCTCTTGGAAATTGCCATGTTTGGGGCCCTCTGTAATATCAGTGTTTGAATCAGGGTTCCTGAAAAGCTATTTCTGTTTAAGTTTCAAATAATTTAGTAAAATGCGAATTCAATAAGAGTTCATCTAACATGAGGCACTCCATTATTCAAACTTAGTTATCATAGGAAGAAATGTCATGGAAGATATAGATGGCTTCCACCACATGAGTTTAGTCACTGTTTCCACAAGAATTGATTGGTTCTAATATGTGCCACGTATCATTCTAGGCTCAGAGAAAGTGGTAGGGAATGAGAAAGGCAGTCACTGCTATCATGGAGATGCAGTCTAACAAGTTGCTACCTCAGTTTGTCTCAAAGAATTAGCCCCCTCTCTGAGCCACGTGAGTGTGAGCAATCTATTCTGCACATATGTCCAGGCCAAGTGATATTTTCCCTTCCCAGGTTATAGTGCTGAGTTCCCTATATAGGTGGTCTTTTGCTTAGCAGGGACAGAGTCCTGGCTTACCAGCAGGTAGAATAGTCCTGGGAGAATGTCACACCCTTCTACCTTACCACCAATGACACTATACTGCAGAAGTACTGGGACTCCCCAGAATGCCTGAGGCCTAGGGCTTCTTTACTGAAGAACTATTTATTATTCAAAGTACTAGGAAGCTAGGTGTGGGGGAGCATGCCTGTAATCCCAGCGACTCCAGATGCTGAGGCAGGAGGATCCTGTGTTCAAAGCCAGCCTCAGCAATTTAGTGAGGTGCTAAGCAACTCAGTGAGACCCTGTCTCTAAATAAAATACAAAATAGGGCTAGGGATGTGGCTCAGTGGCCAAGTGCCCCTGAGTTCAATGCCTGGTACCTCGCCCCCACCAAAAAAAAATAGAAAGTACTAGGAATTTTATTCTTTGTATTATGTTTTTATTAATGCATTATAATACACATAATAGTGGGGATCATTGGGATGTATTTATAATGCACATAACATAATTTAGTAGGAATTATATTCTTGAAATATCTTTAAATACTTCTTTATCTTACTTTTAAATACCTATAAATATATATAATTTCAGATTTCTACTTAGCAAGTTCAGATCAGCAACCAGAGGAGAAATCGTAACTCCAAAAACTGAAAGTGGGCGGAGCTACAGCTTGGATTTCGACAGCCAACATTTTTGCAGTTTAAAGTCAGCCCCTGGTTCAGACAGGTAAGACACATACCATTGGCAATCAGGTAGCTTGGGGATGAGGTTGATGAATTTCCATCCAAACAGGACTTCTGGCTATCTGTAAAGTATCTCCACTTAGAGAACCAACACATAATACAGAAAGTCAGGAGGATATTTTTTAGTTGAAAGAGAAAGCATTTACCTTCCTCATGGACTTAGAGCTGTTGGAATTGTCTGTATCACCTGCAGGGATACAAGTGTCTGTTTGGGGACTCGGGACTGTAGTTCAAATGGAGATGTACAGGTCAAATATGTTCTTTTTCTTTTTGATTTTTTCTTTTTAGATATTTATGACAGATGAGTGTACTTTGACATACATACACGGAGAATAACTATTCTAATTAGGATTTAATTCTTGTGGTTGTACATGATGTGGAGTTTCACTGGTCGTGTATTCATATATGAACAGAGGAAAGTTCTGTCCAATTCTTTCTATTGCCTTCCCTATTCCCATCCCCCTCCCCTCCCTTCTTTCCCCTTGGTCTAATCCAATAAACTTTTATTCTCCACCTCCCTTTATTGTGTGTTAGCTTCTGAATATCGCAGAGATCATTCAGCCTTTGTTTTTTGGGGATTGGTTTATTTCACTTAGCGTGATAGTCTCCAGTTCTATCTATTTACAAGCAAATGCTATAATTTCATTCTTTTTATGGCAGAGTAATATTCCATTGTGTATATTTACCACAATTTCTTTATCCATTCATCTGTTGAAGAGCACCTAGGTTGTTTCCTAGGTGCTTGGTTATTATGAATTGAGCTGCTATAAACATTAATGTGGCTGCATCACTGTAGTATGCTGATTTTTAAGTCCTTTGGGTATATGCCGAGGACTAGAATAACTGGGTCAAATGGTGGTTCCATTTCAAGGTTCCTGAGGAATCTTCACATTGCTTTCCAGAAGGGTTGCACCAATTTGCATTCCTACTGACAATGTAAGAGTGTACCTTTTCCCCTTTTCATTTAATTGCTTGATCTTTTTGTATTGAAGCTTCTGCAATAGGAAACTTTAAGTGTCATATGCACTTCCTGCAACTTATAAAAATATTAATAATTTTATCATTTGGATTGCCTCAGGCATTGTTCCCTAAATTCCACTTCCTCCAACTGATTGTCAGAAGGGCCAAGTGAGATTCTCCTGTGCAGAAAGCTATCACTTGTCAGAAAAAGTAACAAAAAGTAGGATAGCTAAGAGCATTGTCACTTCTCATCAGATTTGATTTTTTCAATCCTGTGGATACATAAGTCAAGGCTTATTTTCACTATTAGTGTGACATCAAAGCTAGAGATTAGAAAAAATAGCCACCCCTAGTTTTGTTTTTTGTTTTTGTTACTAGGGATTGAACTCAGATGTGGCACTGAGCCTCATCCCCAGCCCTATTTGGTATTTTATTTAGAGACAGGGTCTCACTGAGTTGCTTAGCACCTCACCATTGCTGAGGCTGGCTTTGAACTCGCGGTGCTCCTGCCTCAGCCTCCTGAGCTGCGGTGTGCACCACCGTGCCCAACACACCCCTCTGTTAATTCCCTTTTCTTTACTTGGGGCTGCAGTAATTTTGCTAAGCCAGGCAGTAAAAACTGGCAGACATTCTTTTCTCCTTAGGTTCTGCAAACAGAATTACATTCTCCCTATAATCCTATTTTTTTGTTTGTTTGTTTCTTGTGGTGCTAGTCATCAAACCCAGGGCTCTGGTTCACTGTGATCATTTTAGAATATAGACCAGAGTATTTCCCTAGAAGGTACCCTCTTTTCACTATTGTTTTTTTTTCCCCATGTTGACTCTCTATACCTATTTCTTTTTTCCCTATAGCATTCTTGCAAGCAGGTGTCTTTTTATGTAAATCCATACAGAAAAAAAAATCCTTATAAAAACAGAATAAGTCATTTTCATCCACTATCAAAGGATCATCACTGTTCAATATTTTCCAAATATTTAAGAATCTAGATAAATTCCTTTTATGATAAAAAAATGTAAATTACAGTTGTTTTTGCCCTTGAAATAATTTCATTTGTCTTCCTTTAAGGAAGCCCCATACTGTCACCCACAAAAACCTGCTATAAAAATCTCATTTTTTGTTTTTGCTTGTTGGACTCCTGATCTCTGAGGTAGTAGTGTTCAAAATTATTTAGAGATGACAGCCTTGGCAACTTAGTGAGACCCTGTCACAAAATAAAAAATAAAAAGTACTGAGGATGTAATTCAGTGGTAAAACGCCCTTGAGATTCAATCCCCAGTATATATAAAATACTTAGTAATGATATGCAGCTAAGGTAAGTGTTGCTCATTTTCCTCAGTCCTCTGGAGTTGAGCCATCTTGGCTTATTCTTTGGGACTAGTGTTAAGAAGGACACTATATCAAAAGTGGAAAAACAGTTCCTTTTTTGGTGTGTGTTGGGAGGTACCTGGGATTGAACTCAGGGGCACTTGACCACTGAGCCCCATCTCCAGCCCTATTTTGAGACAGGGTCTCACTGAGTTGCTTAGTGCCTTGCTTTTGCTGAGGCTGGCTTTGAACTCACAGTCCTCCTGCTTCAGCCTCCCCAGCTGCTAGGATTACAGGTTTGCATCACCTCACCTGGCAAGACAGAGTTTCTTATTGAAAAAGAAAGGCTCCAGACCTACCAAAAAATTAGATCATGCCATTTTAAGTTATTTGTCTTACAGTTACTGAACAAAAATAAGAATATTCCCCAATATCACACTGCTTATATTTATTTTAGAATCTATCTGCCCAGGTTTACTCCTTGTGTCTTATCTACTGCTAAGTATAAATAATCTAAGCTATAAAGTCATATGGACATGTTTCACAAAATACTGGGGTATTGACATGGGGAGTTCTTGTTCTTTTTTGATAAAAAAGTAGTTTTTTGTTTTGTTTTGTTGGTATCAGGGATTGCACCTCACTCAGCCATTGAGCTACATCCCCAGCCCTTTTTTGTATTTAATTGCTTAGGGCCTCACTGTATTGTGGAGGCTGGCTTTGAACTCAGGATCCTGCTGTCTCAGCCTCCTGAGCTCCTGGGATTACAGGCATATGCTTGGCCAAAAAACTAGTTCTTTATTAGTTTGAGAAACAAAGCCCTAGACAATCTTGTGCAGTGTATTTTAATGTCTCTTTACAGACAAGGAAAAAGACACAGAGAAGTTGGGTGGCTTGTGTAAGATTACAAACCTTGTAAATATACATGGAGACTTCTTATTATAAAATGGAGAAGGTCCCTAAGTAAACTATTTTTAAAATTGTAAGTACCTGAAATGGTTTTCAGATAATTGGAATATAGTAGTCAGGATTGCTTTAGCGTAAGCATGCTAAGAACAATATTTTCCTATTAAGAAAGAATAGAAGTGCTCTGGAGATCAATAAAGCAAAATGTCCTTTTCCTGGAACATGTATTTATCACCGTAATGATTCATTAATGGACCGCCACAGCAAGAGATGTGTTCCATTATCCCCAAATGATTCCTAAGAAAGTTGAGGCAGGAGATGTCCCACCTTTTCTTAATTCCCATCATCTAAAGAGATCGTGAGCTCCCCCTTTCTTTGGGCTATTACCTGACTTAGTTTGAGAATTATTCTCCTTTCTCCTCCACAATGCAGATTTCCTCATGGTTCATTGGTCTTTTCCTGGAGCAGCTGAGCTTGGATATTACTCCCCCCATAATATTCTTTTATTATTTAAATTTTTATATTCATGCATTATGTTCTCTTCTTTATTTCTTCTTTTTAAAAATATTTCAATTATGTTTCAGTATACATGACAGTAGAGTGTATTTTGACATATTATTCATACTTGGAATATAACGTCTTCTAATTAGGATCCCATTCTTGAGGTTGTACATGATGTGGAGATTCACTGGTCGTGAATTCATACATATACACAGGAAAGTTATATCCGATTATTTCTGTCTTTCCTATTCCCATCCCCCCACTTCCCTTCATTCCCCTTTGTCTAATCCAATGAACTTCTATTCCCACCCGCCTTGTTGTGTGTTAGCATCTGCATATCAGAAAGACTATCCAGCCTTTGGTTTTTCTGGAATTAGCTTATTTTGCTTAGCATGATAGTGCCCAGATCCATCCATTTACAGGCAAATGCCATCATTTCATTCTTTCATATGGCAGAGTAATATTCCATTGTGTACATACACCACATTTTCTTTATCCATTGTCGTTTGAAGGGCACCTAGGTTGGTTCCATAGCTTGGCTATTGTGAATTGAGTTGCTATAAACATTGATGTGGCTGCATCACTGTAGTATGCTGATTTTAAGTCCTTTGGGTATATACCAAGGAGTAGGATAACTGGGTCAAATGATGGTTCCATTCCAAGGCTTCTGAGGAATCTCACATTGCTTTCCAGGGGAGTTGCACCAATTTGCAGTCCCACCAGCAATGTATGAGTGTACCTTTTCCCCCACATCCTTACCAACATTTATTATTGCTTGTATTCTTGTATTCAGCCATTCTGATTGGAGTGAGATGGAATCTCAGTATAGTTTTGGTTTGCATTTCTCTATTTGCTAGATATGTTAAGCATTTTTTTCATATATTTGTTGACTATTTGTATTTCTTCTTCTGTGAAGTGTCTGTTCAGTTTCTTAGCCTATTTATTGATTGGGTTATTTGTTTTTTTGTGTTAATTTTTTTGAGCTCTCTATATATCCTGGAAATTAATGCTTTATCTGAAGTAGGACAGCACTCTTAAAGTATGTACATGTGCTATCTCAATCTTCCCAATAACCTTATAAAGTATATCATAAAAGAGTGGAGGTGGGACTGAGGTTATAGCTCAGTGGTAGAGCATCTGCCCCGCACATGTAAGGCGCTAGGTTCGATCCTCAGCACCACATAAAAAATAAAATAAAGGTATTGTGTTCATCTACCGCTAAAGAAATATTTTCTAAAAAGAGTGGAAATGATGTTTTATCAGATGTCTAATTGACTATTTCTTTTCAGTGGTTTCAAAGCAAGAGAAAATATGAATGGGCTAGGAAAGGCCTAGCAGACTCTCAGAGTATTACAAATTGCTAGTTGCTAGAGACTGAACATATGAGACAAAGGAGAGTTTTTAAATGGATATAATTGTAAATTATAGTTGATAAAGAGAATGCTATTCAATGCAGTGATTCTGAGTCCCTTCTAAGTTGGGATGAGTAGTCACGGTGTTGTGATTTTGTACGTCTCTATCTTCAATCATTCTCTCCCAGAAACAGACCCTCAAACAAGGATTCATAAGCAAGCAACTTATTAATTTTATTAATCCAATTTTAACTTTATTAATCCACAAAAAAACAGTAAGGGAGTAGGAGAGGCAGAAAGGAGAAGGTGAAGAAGCTAAGTAATGGTGCTATCTAAGATATGTCCAAGTCTCAGGACCCAGCTTGATTCCACGGGGGACTCTGGAGCATGAACTATGTCCCTGAGCTTTGTTTGGAAGAGCTAGACCATTGCACTCCAACACCTGTCAGGCATTGACTATGAATGTCCTTGGGTAGGATTTCCAGACTCTAGAAAGGTTGTTTCCTGATAAATTATTTTCCTGGCTATAATTACTAGGAAACCATTATATGAGTCAAAATGGCAATTCATTAAATTATAGTCTTTGTCCCTTATCCTTGGGTCCTCTATCCAGAAATGGATACATCTGGAAAGTCATTATCAAGATTTGGGGGATTTTAAAAGTTTATTTTATATCCTGAAGAAATGAGATTTTTTTCTAACTTAGAAAATGTGTCATTCTATAACCCATGATAACCAAGCTCCCCAGACAATGTCACATCCCCTCACTTGGTCCCTGTTAGAATAAGATACGTGTATCGCTTTCTTGCCCATTTTCCCTTAACCACATTGAACTTGAAGGTTGGTTGGCACTGATTTCTAATTCTTCTTAATTAAATCACAGTAACATGATATCTGAATCACAAATAGCTCTTTCTTAATTGGTCTTTAACTTCTCTGCTTTAATTTAGACTTCAGGATGCTTTTTTCCCCTCTTTCTATTTAAGTGGCAAAGGTTCATGTATTTTATGTCATGTTTTATATAACATCTAAAAGAGTTGGCACCCAAATATTTATGATCTGCCTCATTAGACTAAACCTTTTCTTAGTCTAATCAACTGAAAGGAAAATATTTTTGAGAGGCTCACAGTAAATGTAAGGAACAAATGAGAAAGTGCATGTCATTTTTGAAATAATGCTGCTGGCCACGATGATTTCCAGTAGCTGACTTACGATCACAAGAATTCTTTCCTTATTACAGGATAGCCTCTCAAATGTCATCACCACAATTAATCAACTTCTGCCAGAGCTTCTACACAAGTAGGAGTTTTGGGTTCAATAGGGCTAATCCACCATGGGGACTTTTTCCAAACCACCTGGATCTGAGAATATCTTCAACGCACACACACACAAACAGAAATGCCCACATGAAACCTTTTGCTTATAATTTCTTGGTTCTGTTGTACATGATTCACCCCAGCCTTTATTTTTTGAAACTATTTTACCTAAAACAAAATAAGGAGAAAGATTTTTATGATAATAGTTAGGAGAGTAGAGTACCTATGGTCACCACACCACAGCACTGGGCAGGTGCTTCCTGAGATGAACAGAAAACACTTGGAAAGGTAGGACTATGACTAGCTACTGTAAAATGTAGCAATGTAACACCTGAGGTAGGAAGGCTCGGGAAAATCACCCAGAAACTTAAAATTCCAAATTACAACAATCTACTGGATCAGAAAAAAATTTTTTCTCATTGCCAGGATCAATAAACACAATCACAAGTCCCTCCTGAGCTGAGTTCATACCACTATAGTTTAGAATATCAGTTCTAGAAAGAGGAGCCTGGAGATCTACATAGTGTCAAAGGGATGTTGCCAGAAACTTTTCAAAATTATTTTAATCAAATCCCAAGAAACTAACCCCAACTCTGATCCTCAGATTCTCTTCTTGATCGTTTATTCTATTAGTGCAGAACTCCCCTGGTTGAAATGATTTTATCTTGATGAAATGATACGTGAGCAGTATGAGAAACCAGAATGGACTCAGGCTTTGTGTGGATGGACAACACTATTTTTATCCTGACTGTCATGTACTGTGTGACAGCATGGTAGTGTGGTGACAGGTGTGTGTATATACACATGTATGCATATATATATATATATGGAATAATTATTTAACCTCTCCAAGACTCAATTTACTCATTAAAATAGATTTTTTTTTACTTTTAACATTTTAATGATTTTATTAACATTTTTAAAGTATATTTTTTTAGTTGTTAATGGACTATTTATTTATTTATTTATACGCCATGGTGAGACTCAAACACAGTGCCTCGCACATGCTAAGCAAGTGCTCTGCCACTGAGCCACAACCCAGCCCCAACATTTTTTTAATATATATTTTTTAGTTATAGGTGAACACAATGTCTTTATTTTACTTTATATGGTGCTGAGGATCGAATCCAGTGCTTCATGCATGCCAGGCAAGCGCTCTACCTCTGAGCCACAACCCTAGCCCCCAGCCTCAACATTTTTAATTTTTGAAGAGTAGCATTTATTACAAAGGCTGGCAGGGTTGGTACTTGTGTTTCAGAGTCTTGGTAAGAAACTTCTTTACTGCTACATTTTTATTTTTACCTTATTCCAAGCTCTGTGACAATACAAAGTTTTTACAGGGATGTTGGGCAATGGAAACTGGCTAACACCTAAAAAATATTCAGTAAATGTAGCTGCTTTTTGCATAGTTATTGAAGATGGTAGTGTTAATCAGGTTATATCTGACTTTTATGGCTTCTCTAGTGCCCAGAATGGAAAAACAATCACTCAGAGTTGTGGTTGACAGCTCTGATGGTCATTGCCTATTCTTTCTTCTGCCAGATTTATCTTGTGGTAGTAATATATGTAAGTTCAGACATTTAAAAAAAAGATCCTTCCTTTATTCTATCTGGTTTCTCTGATTGACTCAACTGTAAGCCAAAAAAAATCACTTGTTAACCAGTGCTGGTGTGCTTTGCCAATAATATACTTACTTTCATAACTTATTAAGATAGTAACTAAGAGAATGAAACTCAGCATATATTGCATACAACCCAGCATAATTTGTAGCATATTTTGTGGGCACTGGGGGTTAATGATGGATAAAATAAGAACAAACACTTAAATTGTGATTTGTCGAAACTCTACATTTACTTATGAAGCTCTCTTTAATAAGAAAATTGTGATCATCTGGAGGGCAGAAATTATTTTTTCTTTTATCATTATTGAATGAAATTAAATCATTTTAGCAAACATGAAAGTGATTCAAACCCATTTAGCAAACATCATTATTTTATACCGCATTTATTAAATACGCACCATGGGTCAAACACTAAAACAACAGAGAAATGAAATATAATTTCTGGTCTTTGATTAAAACATGTACTGAGTAACTTCTTTGTATCAAGGCACTATGAAGATGCTGGAGATATCATGGTAAAGAAAACATAGACTCTGTCCCCAAGGAACTCACAGATCAAAGAAACACCAAGGCCCACATATGTGGATCAATTAGGGAACCAAATAAGACATTCTGCTGTTTTAAATGCCATTTAATGATGACAACTTCTTTATCAGGACCAAATATCTTACTAAATGGTACGGCAAAGACCAAAAGTCAGCAGCAACTAAGGGGAGGACAGTTGAACAAGGCCTGCGCTTGACAGGAAAGACCTCACAAGGAAAGCTGAACTTCTCTGGCCTCCAGGAATGGACAAGATTTACAGACACAGGGGGCATATTGGGTGGGGAGAAAGGAAAACACCTTAGAGGTAGAAGTGAACTTGATGAATTGAGAGAATACTCAGGAATAATAGAATGGCTGGGAGGATGCTGGTAAGAACTGGGAAGTAAAGTCAAAAAGTTCAGGGGGCGCTCAATTCCAAAGACCCTGGAGTCAGGCAAATGGGACTAAACTCAGTGAGCCCCTGTAGGGTCTTGAGGAGGAGGGTGATGTGATAGTTGCTGAGCAGTTCCAGTGCGGCTGTTTCGATTTAAGTGTAGGTCACATGTGTTCATCATTTTTTTTTTGAAGCTGTCCCCTGCCTGTGTCTTTGATTGTCACTTGGCTACCATGTTAAAATCAGAATGTGCTTTATCATTAGAGGAAGCATCGGTTCTTCAGATCTCATGGACCAAGAGGTCAGACCTGGGACCCCAAAGAGCATCCGGAGCAATGGTATGACCCCAATCACTCAGAGGTCACCAGCCCCAAGCACTCGAAGTGTGGCCTCAATCAGCAGCAGAGTAAGTGCACAAATGTAAAGAGACCCCCAGCCTCTGGGACTTGACTATACCATTAAGGCATGACTGGGTTTAACCTCCCTGTATCTCAGACATGTCATTTATGTCATTTAATGGTAAGAATTTCTTTACCAGGACCAAGACTCCTGCATCCTTAGTTTTTGGCCCAAAACCCAAAGTGAAAAAGAAATGGAAAGACAAGATATAAAGGTGGCATTGTATGCTGGGATTTACATGGTTGAATGGTTTAAACAAATATAAAGAATGTGTTGAAGGGTCTGATTTTAATCCTCCATGTTTCTTCTCAGACAAAATATTCATAAGTGGACAGCACTAAAATTTCTCCAAGCTGCTTTGCACTTGGAAAAGTAGAACCTTGAAATGTTGTTATAGTGTTCTATGTATCATTATGTGTCACCACATAATGAATGCTTAAATGGAATATTTTACATATGTGGTAAATTACATTTTATGTTGCCTTTCTCTTTTAAGGGAGAAGATGGAGAAAGTATTTGGAAGGTGTTATGGTTTAGATCTGAGGTGTCCTCCAAAAGCTCATGTGTGAGACAATGAAAGAAAATTTAGAGATTAAATGATTGGGTTATAATAGCCTTAACTTAATCAATGCATTAATCTCCTGACAGAGATTAACTGGGTGGTAACTGTAGGCAGGTAGGGTGTGGCTGGAGGAGGTGGGTCCTTGGGGGTGTGCCCTTGAGGTATATATTTCCATTCTGGTGAGAGTTCTCTCTGATACCTGATTATCATGTCCTGAGCTGTTATCCTTTGCCATCCCCTTCCACCATGGTGTTTTGCTCCATCTTGTGCCCAGAGCAATGGACTTGACCATCTAAGGACTGAGACCTCTGAAACTGTGAGCCCCAAATAAACTTTTCCTCCTCTAAATTGTTCTTGTTAGGTGTTTTGGTCACAGCAGTGATAAAGCTGACTAAAACAGAAAGAAAAATTTTTAATGAAATATTTTGTTAGAAGTCTTTCTTGGAATGAATTAGCATCTACTACATTTATTAAAATTATTTTGGTATTGGGGATTGAATCCCAGGGGTACTCTACCACTGAGCTATACAGCCCCAGTCTTTTTTAGTTTTTATTTTGAGGCAGGGTCTTGCTATGTTGCTGAAGCTGGCCTTGAATTTGTGATCCTCCTGCCTCT